TTTTAATTAATTTTCCCCCACTCACCGCCGGCCATGGCGAATTCCCTGCAGAGCGACAGCGGAACCAGCAGGGCAGGGGCGGAATTTGGATTTTTTTTCTTGTTTTTTTTTGTTATTTTTAGGGCTTTTTTTTATTTTTTGTGGGGTTTTTTTTCTTCTTGTGTTTGTGTGGTTTTTTCTCTTTTTGCGTTTTTTTTCTGTGGTTTTTTTTGTGGTTTTTTTGACATTTTTTGATTTTTTTTTTGGCTTTTTTAAACTTTTTTGTGTGATTTTTTTCGGGGATTTTTTTTTTCATTTTTAATTTCAAAAATTTAATTTTAATTTAAAGAATTGGACTTTATTTTTTAAAAAATTGCGGGGTATTTTTTGGGTTTTTGTGTGGTTTTTTTTAGCGTTTTTCGCCGTTTTTTCGCCGTTTTTTTTCCTTTTTTCGCCGGATTTTTTCGGGAATTTTTTTTTTAATTTTTTTTAATTATCTTAATTAATTTTCCCGCACTCACCGCCGTCCATGGCGTACTCCCTGCAGAGCGGCAGCGGAACCAGCAGGGCAGGGGCGGAATTTGGATTTTTTTTCTTTTTTTTTTGTTATTTTTATGTTTTTATTTTTGATTTTTGGTGGGGTTTTTTGTTGCTGTTTTTGTGTGGTTTTTTTCTGTTTTTTGTGGTTTTTTTCTGTTTTTTTGTGTGGGGTTTTTCGTGTTTTATTTGACTTTTTTTGCTCTTTTTCCTCAATTTATTTTTTAATTTTTCTCTGTGATTTTTCCGAGGATTTTTTTTTTTCACTTTTAATTTCTTAAATTTAATTTTAATTCTAAAAATTTAACTTTAATTCTCAAAATTCTGTATTTCTTTTTGTTTTCCGTGTGTTTTTCGTGTGTTTTTTTACCGTTTTTTCGCCGTTTTTTGCCGTTTTTTCGCCGTTTTTTTTTCTTTTTTCGCCGGATTTTTTTCGGGAATTTTTTTTTTTTTTTAATTTTTATTTTTAATTATTTTTCCCGCACTCACCGCCGGCCATGGCGTAGTCCCTGAAGAGCGGCAGGCGGAACCAGCAGGGCAGGGTGAGCAGGTGCGGCCGCAGCCCCGGGAACAGGAGCCCGAACCCGGTGGCCTCGGTGCAGAAATTCCCGAAAGCTCCGGCGGCCAAAACGCCGTGAGGGTGGAAACCAAAAATGTAATTTCGGCCCGGGTCCAGAGGAGTGGTGCGGATCAGCTGCAGGGAAAAAAAAAAAAAAAAAAAAAAAAAAAAAAAAAATTTGGGTTTTTCAGGATTTTGGGGAATTTTTTTGGGATTTTTGGGGATTTTTTGGGGATTTTTTGGGATTTTTTGGGG